GAGAGAGAGAGCATGGGCTACGTTAAGTGGACTGATTGGCGTGGCGGGTCACTTGAATGATGGGGCGGTCAAAGGGTTAAAACATGTCCAACTCAGCAGAAAACGATGTGAGGAGAGGGCAGGGTCGAATCTTGCAAAAAAAAATGCGGTTAAAATCTTGCATGGGTTTTGATCGTCTAGGATTGAAACTTAGACGATTTCAAAGTTTAGGGTTGATTCTTAAACATTTGTGACATTTCATGATTGAAACATGGACTTCTCTCTTGTTATTTGTGGTTCATCGACATCATCATCATCATCGTTGTTGTTCTTGTTGTGGTTTCTTCTTCGAGAATATTATTTTGTTGCCATTCGAGAGTACCAAACCATGTCGCCTTGTAGTAAATCTCCTGCATTAAGCATTTCTGGTTTCATATATACCAGCCGAATCAATCTGTACGACAGAGACCCAGCCATGAATTTGCCATTCTAGCTAATGAGTAGTACTGAGTAGTAAGTACACGCTGACCACTTAGTAATTCTTGCGACTTGTCTGAACCACACTGCCGTTCTGACGCTGATGCTGAACTCTCGCCTCCGGCAGCTCGTCCTGTGGCGGTGCCGGCGCCGGCCCGAGCCGGTGCATGACCGAGCGGTAGGCCATGAGCCCCAGGTGATGCACCTTGTCGTACAGCTTCTCCGGCCGCAGCGGCGCCACGTACATCCCGACGGCGTCCAGCTGCCAGCCGCTCCGCCCGCAGAACCCCACGATCACGCCGCCCTCCACCGCGAACTCGAACGGCGTGCCCTCGGCGGCGCCGAACGGCCCGTACGCCGCGCGCTCCGTCCTGAACGCCAGCGACCGGATCACTGGCGAGCCACCGGGAGCCACCGCGCCGTAGCGGCCGCTCACGGCCGTCAGGTGCTCGTCCGGGAAGCTCAGCTTGATCTACGCATATGCACGCAACAGTCCAGTCAAGAAAAGCACGGTTCTGCCGTATCATATATGCCGTTTACGCGATCTTGCCGATCGAAGTACCAACCTGGGTGGTGTGGTTGCCGCCGGCGCCGCCGTGCCGCTCGCCGGGGACGGCGAGGCCGCTCCTGTCGTACTCCACGGCGATGGAGACGACGCAGCGGTGGTCGTACGACAGTGTGACGCCGCGGATCCCGGTGTGCCCGCCGTCGTCCCACGTGTTGCCCCCGGTGCCGCCCCATGGCCCGACTTTCATGAGCTTCTTCGACGCGACCATCCTCCTCGGAGGCGGCGGCTGCTGCTGCTGCTGCTGAAACAAAAGGTGCAGCTTGGAACTTCAGCAATGGAGTGAACGCTTTTTAAAGCAAAATCTATGTATTTTCTTGGGACAAAACAAAGCTAGCCTTTTAGAGATTTTTAAGGATGTTTACACAAGAACGTAAGTACAAACAAACAAACATGAAAGAAGGATTAATTAAGGATTCAGATGTGATGAGAATCCAATTTGCTTGACTGAAAATGAAACTGAATACTAGTGAGATCACTAGTGTACCATGTTTGCCTCCACTCCAGATATGTACAGCAGGGCTATAACACCAGGTGGTAAGTGGTAAGATGAGCAGCTAGCTACCTAATGTTCTAAGAACAAGTGTACTTATACGGGTTAAAGTAGCTGGTGAAAAAAATGGCAGGTCCAGCCAAAATGGCAGCTGGCAAGATTGTAGTGTACATGATGATGAGAAATATAAGTGGAGACCGGAACTGGATGCTCTCTCTTGATAGATCAGTAGGCATACTGCTTTGCTTTCCATAAAGCTAAGCATACTGTACAGGAACATGCTCTTCTTCACCTAGAAGCTATGGTAGCAATGAATCAAGAATTTTGACGTTCAGGTTAGCATCTCCCAAAAGCCCAAAACTGCATAACATTTTTTTGAATCCATTACCTCTATGATCGCAACGTTTAGAGCCAGATTTTTTGAATTTTCGACAATGTTTTTTTATCCGACAAAGAGATTCTTTTAATTAATTGGAAACTTTTATTGGAAAAGCCGGTATGCCCCGGGGTCTTTTGATCGCAAAGTCTGCAGCCAGATGTTATTGCTAGGAACATCGACGGCGATATGCTTGTGGCGTTGGGGCTGCTCCCGCTCAATCTGCAAATCCAACCTCGAAGCTTGGGTACAAAGCTTCTCAATGTCGATGTTTGGGTACAAAGCTTCTGCTGCAAGTAACATTTTTAAAATTCCTCGAGAAACTTCTATGTTTTTTGTAATCAACCTCTACTAAATTAGTCCCTCTGCTCCAGATAAATTGAAGTTAAAGATTTGTCCTGAGTTGAACTTGTTGCGTCAAATATATATAGTGCAAACTAATTTGATGATGTAGATGTTGGTATATTTTTCTATATAATCAGTCAAATTTAAACAAGTTTGACTTTGGACAAAACTAGAACTTCAATTGATTTGGAACAGGGAGAGTACTTTACATTTGTTACATGCCCATCTTGTGGTGATGGGTGATGAACAGAGACGATATGGATTCCCAACTTTGTTCAAAGGTAGGAGGAGCAGAGAAGGTATGGATTCTATGGTAAGTATAATGGCCAAACCGGAGAATATGATGCCGATTGATAGAGGTCATGACAGGAAAGGGAGAACAACTTAATTGATGGCATATAAAGTTGTGTTTTCAGAAATTCCTTGGCTCCCAAATCCATTTTGTTCTTAGAATATCTGACGAACCGCTTCATCACAACAAAGAAGTGAAAGTGCACAACTATGCCCATCGGCATCCAACTGTCAATAAATCAGTTCTACTACATGTCTACATCGACAGGTGGTTATCCTTGACACATACCAAATCCATTGTCTGAAGCTAAATGATTGTAAATCTTTGTGACAAGGAGTCACATAATTCACTTCTCATTTATGCTGTTAGTTCTAACAACTCAAATTACCAGTTGGCATTCTACCATCCACCACCCATCCACTTAACTGCAAGATTTAATTCTTGGAGTGGTTCAACTCCGTTGATGAAGTATATTGTGGTAGTGTGAGTGCTTGCATATGAAATTGCGACTGACTACATCGTGAGTACATTCGCATTGGAGAAGATATCCTCCTCGAGTGTGTGATTATCACATAAGTCGTGATCGAGAATTTCCTACCAGAGTACTTGAGGGCACCCAATGATGAAGAAATGTAAGGCTCATGGCTCTAGGTGAATCGGATGGCCAAGGATGTTTGAACCCATTGATTGATGCATTGGACATGAAAGATTTGTCATGCCACATGGCATGGGCCATATAGAGGGCCTTGCCATGATACAACCATAATTCTCGAAGCAATTACATCAAAGGATGTATAGATTCGACAATCGTACTTTGGAGTGCCCGACTCTCACAATGACATCAATGTTCTGCAGAGGTCTCCTCTATTCGAAAGGCTTGCTGCCGGCCAAACTCCACCTTGCAACCATGTTCTCAATGGTCACGGGTGTTGGAGATTTGAACATTTCCAATAAGTTCAATATAGGGAAATAGTAGGTAAGACATGATAACCACGATAACCGAGTCAATAAGCGTAGTGATGTAACTAGTCATCCAATCGGATACAAAAAATACAAACGTCGTATCCATATCGATTGTTGGCACGACATCCAGAAACAATGCCTGACATAAGGGATATGAGAACATACGACGTGGTGGAAGAAGAACCGGGCACATAGATCGCCATGTCACCGAGGAGGTTGTCGACGCTGGGGAAGTCGTCGTCCGCAACCACAGTGAAGAAGAATCCAGCGGTCGCATGAAGGTGCTCCCCAAAAAGATGGCCACCCCTCTGTCGTACAAGATCACAAGAGGTAGGGTTTTGGAGGCATGTTGTCTCACTTCAAGGTGTGTTCCAAGGAGCGAGATGGAAAAAATGTAGGCGGCACAACGCTTGGAACCCGGAGGTATGCGAGATGATACGTCTGTGTCTATGGAGGAGCGGCCTTACAGACGGGTTGCAACGAACCCATTAGGGAGAGGAAGAGAAACAGTTGCCTGGCTCGGCTCGTTCACGACGCACGTGTGAGGTGGGCGACGGAGGAGGAGCACACGTGTATGCGCCTTCTTCTCAAGCTCTTAGGGGTGTGTGAGACCATCCAACCTTATATGCCCCAACCAGGGTGGGACTAAACTTCATACAACCCTTGTCATGCATGAATGGGCCACAAGGGCCTCTAGGATTTTTTTAGAAATTATTGGTAATAATAAATGGGCTAAAAGCCCAATGATTCCAACAATGAGAACAACATTGGCTACTACCTAGCCGATGGCATCTACCCTCTATGGGTCACATTTGTGAACGCAATTGAACGTTCGGAAAGCAACAAGAAATTTCACTTTAGAAAAAAAAATCTATGTGAAAGAATGTTGACAGAGTTTTTGGGGTGCTTCATGCTCGCTTTGCGATATTAGGTGACCCCATTGAGCATTGAAACCTAAAGATATTGTGGCATATCATGACAACATGTACTATCTTGCACAAATGAGAGAGGTCAGTGGGAGGACTTTAGGTACGTCTACAATGGGGAACATGTGGAGCGAGAACATCAAGCAAACATGATCCCGTGATTTATCATAGCATGGGATCGAGAAGCAAGAAACTCATCACCAACTCTAGATGATCTTGCTTAGCACTTGTGGCAACTTCACATCACTTGATTGTTGTGCATTTGTCATGTTTTATTTGTATTATTACTTCATTTGGGCTCTACATTGTCTTTGAATTTGAAATGGTGTTGAAATATGTGCACTATATATAATATTAATTTTCAAATAATATGTTGCACAAATGTGATTTGTATGCAACAAGAATGGAAGAAACAACAAAATTATGGGAGATTAAGTTTTGGGAGAATGGCTAGGTGCACAAGAGTTTTAACTCCTCAGAGTGTGAAAAGTTAAGTTTTAAGGGGTCATTTGGGGAGTCAAATTTTTAGGAAGGGGTAGAGATGCTTTTACAGGTCCATCTTGCGCCAACGAGTGATGGACAGAGACGGTATGGGTTCCTAGTTTTTTTGTTTTTTGAGGGATTCCTAGAATTATTAAAAGGTCGGAGGAGCAGAGAAGGTATGGATTATGTGGTAAGTGCAACTGCCAAACAGGAGAATATGATGCCGATTGGTAGGCGCCACGCAGGCAAGGGAGAATAACATAATTGTTTGTTGGCATATATAGTTGTGTTTGGTAAATTCCTTGGTTCCCAAATTCATTTTGTTCTCCGAGTATCTGGCCAATCAGTTCGTCGCAACGAGGCTGTGGTCATCCACAACTGTGCCCATGAGGATCCAATTGCCAATAATCAGTTCTACCACGACGACAGCTGGTTACCCCTTGATTACGTACCGAATCCGTTGTCTGAAGCTGAATGATTTTAAGTGGTTGCGACAAGGCATCTTAATGCTCACCCCTTATTTCTGTTGCTAGTGTTAACAGCTCAAACGGGCTCTCCCATTCATCACCCGCCCACTTTCTCGAAACAGGCTTTCGCTCCGTTTTATATATAGAGCAAACCGCCCACCCAGTTAGCTGCAAGAATTAGTTCTTGGAGCGGTTCGTTGAACTGCGCGATTCATCATATGCTCGTCTTATCAGAGTAAGCTGCCCTAATTTCATCATTGAACCGGTAGAAGGGAGTGAGAGACAAACGTGCACACAGGTGCTTCCCATCGGCAGCAGAGATGCATGCACGCATTGGCCGCCTAGCTAATCATTCACACCACCTAAATAAAGCCTTTGCTGATCTGTGCCAAAAGGAAATTAAGATGAGAGTCCCCACAGGAACATCATAATCCTCTTTGACAGGTGTGTTGCTGGCCTGCCCTGACCTGCCTGGACCAAGATGCTCTTTTCTTGCATTAGCTCCTGCAATGACTAAAAAGGAGCAAAAATCATACAGTAGTGCTAATTAATCTGCTTGTTTTTTGAGTGTGCCATACACCAATTAGCAGCTGCTAATAATGATTTTCTACCATGTGCGTGGTTCACAAAATTAGCATTTTGCTATCTTTAAGCCGTGGGTTGAGGCCACAATAGCTAGCCATGAGCTGCCCCATGATGGAAATAGGCCAGTCCCTGAAACGTGGGGCCCGGGGGGCTCCCTCTCCGCCTATAAAACAGGCGCGCGCCTTCGCTCAAAACCATCTCTCTCACGCTCACACACCTCTGTTTCTTCCGTCTACCAAGCAAGCACACGTCCTCCATCCATGGACTCCAAGATGTTGCGCTCCGCCGTCATCGCGGCCGCCGTCGCCGTGTCCACGCTCGCGGGGGTCGCCTACGCCGTCGACCCGCCGGCCGCCGCGCCGGGCCCCGGCGGCCACGCCACCTCCGGCGCCGCCGCCCTGTCGTCGTCGTCCATGGTCGCCGCCGTCCTCTGCCCGGCCGTCGCGCTCCTCTTCGCCAACCTGCGCCACTGATGATGATTAAACAAAGGGAACCATGCATGCTGTTGTTCACCGTCGGCGTGCGTCGCGCGGATATCGGTCTCGTTGTATGCTTGTACG